GCAATGTGCAAATCTGTCGACTCTCAAAGATGGACTCGGAGGTCCCTTTTACAGCAACCAAGGCTCGGAGAACTTTCGCAAGTCGTAGCGGAGCACACACAGACCTTGCGAGCCGGGCCCGACTCTTTTACTCTCATTATACATAATTGGTGTGTCTTTCTTTCCAGCCTCTTGTCTATTGCCGTGATAATCGTTTTATTGCCCGGTCACAACCACCACCACAACCGATATTGCGAATGTTTTCTGGTCTCTATCCATAGCTCTAGTTCATAGTCCGCATGTCATCACAGCTTGGTTCAGTTTGCGTGTTCTGTTGTTTGAGTTTCGGTCGACGCCCGGTTTAGGATGGGCCGGGCGTTCTCGAACGTTACTTATATTGTGTAAATAATATGTCAATGTACGGCGAAATGTCTTCGTGCAATGGGTATTTGATGTACAGGGTGTTACGGAGAGTAAAACACTGTCCGCGTTACTTCTTTGAAAGTTAATACATTATATTATGTATTAAAAATATATAATATATAAATATATACAATTAATATATCAGAATTTCAATTTTGTCCGGGAAACTCACGTTGGTATTACGATTACACCGGGCACTACTTTAACTCAAACTATGGGGACAAGATTTCATTGTTTCAGTAAGAATCAAAAACCACTAAAATGTGTTCAATTTTGTATTAAAGGTTTATAGAATAAGGTAAGGGGATTTATGAAGTGTGAAAGTTCTACGTATAACTTATAGTGAGAACGTGGTACCGTCGTCATGTTTATTTAAGATCCGTAGGTTTACATTTGAAAATACCTAATTTCTCTAAATTTGATACATGGGATAGGACAGAAGTCGGAGTGTAACAGAGAGACGGGGCGTCCAACCTCTGGGGTTGCGAAAGGACTTGATGACCCAAGACTCCCAACGGAAAAGACCTCGTTGCCGGACGCACCGAGTGTAGCTACCTAGTCTGGACATTCCTCCTGTTTGTGAAGGTGTACAAAGACAGTTACAGTAATCGATTTATATACAACATTGATTCGACAAGGAATGACAAAAATTTCCATGTAACGGTTGAGTCCTCTGCGAGCCCGTCACAACCCCCACGTCCTCCTCCTGCCAAGCAAGTGGCGAGTGTGTGAGAGATTGCTGGTGTCGCGGGTCTTACTCCTTCTCCACCGGGCCTATGCTCGACTTGTGGGGGGAAGTCTCTTCTTCTGTCAATATGCTGTCCATTATGGAGGTGGTTACACGAAATACACCAACAACAACGTCGTAAATAATTTTGGGGGGGGGGGAGAAAGACAGCCGGAGAAATAGTCCCTTACAAATTTCAGCACGGCCTGTGTAGCAAAATGTAGAAAGACAAAGGAAAGTTAGAGTGTTTAATCGGAGGCGGCGCATTTGTTGTAACGTATCAACGTAAAGCAAAAGTCAAACCAACATACGATAAAACCAATAAACACGGGTAGTGTTATTTTGGGTATTTATGTTCATGTGTTTTATTAACGTCATTAGTGGTCGTATCGTACGTTTTCGTGAACCATTTTCCTGTACACGTGTTGTGGTGAGACAACGTGTCCTAACAACCCTTTTTCTACTGCTCCCCTTCTCCTTTGTACGTCGCTCCACTGGCCAGGTGCACGGAAGTAAATCCTCGTGACTTTCGATTACAACTCTCCCTGACTGGTTCCCGGTGGTAGCCGCATCCTCCCGTGTGTGTGTGGGTGTGTGGTGTGTGTGGTGTCGTCGTGTGTGTGTTATCATCTGGTGTGCCTCACAGATGTTTGCAATCGACGAGGGTGTCTCACTTGTAAACACCCACCCAACATATGAGTGCAGTTACTCCCACAGCTCCCTCTCACAGACACCTAACATGTATAACAACAACTTCCTGTGTCGACAAACACCACGGAGCTGCCTGTGCGAATCCGTGCCATTGATAAGCAACGCGAACTACGGAAGTCGAACAAGAGACACATGACCATCGAACGGAGACTATTTTCTCTCTCCTCTACCCTAATGTTAATCTTTCATCTACCTTCCTTGTTTATAACCACTCTCCTACTTTTTATAGGTATTGTCTCTACCATGTACTATTCATTTCTCTACATTCTTTCTTCTTCCACCATTATCGCAATAAGCTTCACTTTGCGGAGACCATCAACTAGAACACCCCTACCTTATCTCCCTTCACCCCTCTTAGTACCGTCGCACCCCTGGCCGCAGCAAACTCAAAGCCAGCTGCGGGCCAAATCCTACCCGGCCCGCAAGAGCTTGCAATGAATATAACACATTTATTATACAGTTACATGCCGCTTTACAGAAGCACGTTACCCATAAACTACATGTCCCACAATGCCTCTCATTTTGTGACAGGCGCAATGAAGAAACTTTCAATTATGTAATATAATACATAATTTTTATATATTATATATTTATATATGTTAATTATATAGTCTTAAAGTTAAAACAGGCCCTTTGAGTGCAACCATAATGCTAATGTGGCCCGTGATGAAATTGAGTTTGATACCCCTGTTCTAAAGTAACAAAGTCATTCTTAGTTTTTGGTGATTTTACACAAGTTAAAACATAATTTCCAAATATCTTATTCCATTCCCCTAAATACTTCACACTTTCAAGATGCATATTGAATATCACTCTTGCACCATGGCAGCAGTACAAATAAATTCTAGGCATCCAAATGTAAACTTTTATGGATTAAAGAGATTTAAACTATGTACCCTATCCTGTCTTCAGCCTCACATTGTCTCTCTGCCCCGCAGGTTGGAGACCCCAACGCTTTCCTGAACTACTGGGTTCTGAGGGTTGCCTTTTCTGGAGCAACGGCCTGCGTGGCTCACATCGATGGATCAGACCTGTAAGGAGGACAAACACTTCCACATGTTTCTGTCAATGTCATTAGCTAAATATATGTTGTAACTAAGCTGTTCCTTACTGTTTTTAAAGGTACATTGCCAACTCAGGAGACGCTCGGGCAGTGTTGGGGGTGCAGGAGGAGGACGGTTCGTTCACCGCTCACACACTCTCTAACGACCACAGCGCCCAGAATGAGGAAGAGGTGGCCCGGATACGAGCTGAACACCCCCCTTCAGAGAAGAAGACAGTTATACGACAGGTAATACCTCCACCAATGTGCTTTATGTGGTTGTTGTTGCAGCATTTATTAAAACCCCCCCCCCCTCTTTCTGTCGGCCTCTTTATCAGGACCGGTTGCTCGGCCTGCTCATGCCGCTGCGTGCTTTTGGAGATGTGAAGTTCAAGTGGAGTATTGAGCTGCAGAAGTGTGTGTTGGAGTCCGGGCCCGATCAGCTCCATGAAAACGAGCACTGCAAGTTTATCCCTCCAAACTACCACACCCCCCCCTACCTGACCGCCGAGCCGGAGATCACGCACCACAAACTGCGGCCACAGGACCGCTTCATGGTGAGAGGAGACAAATCCGCCCTGTGTTTGTTTCAAAAAGTAATGGCAGTAACTTTTCCTAAAGGAGATTCCTACCCTTAAATTCAGACTTTATTACTATTTGTTCAACTTTTCCCACACATTTTAAACGTAGATACCCCATTAAAAGGTGCTCTGAGGAGACGACTTTTCCACAAATTGTATAAAAACATTCAAGGGAATTCCTTTTCTGAACAACATTAATTTCTAGTCGCACTATTAGTGAAATTGGTTAATAAAGATATTCTGAAATGAAGCTAATTTACTGTTCTAACTCAAGGCATGACAACGTATGTGAGTAACTTAGCTTATCTGATGTTACAATCGTGTGTTTTCTGATTCCTCTTGTTTCTATCCCTGCAGGTGATTGGCTCCGACGGCCTCTGGGAGACGCTCCACAGACAGGAAGTGGTTCGTATTGTGGGGGAGTATATAACAGGGGTTTCCCAGCGTCAGCCCCTCAAAGTGGGGGGCTTCAAGGTCTCCCTGGGACAGATGCAGGAGCTGCTTGACGAGAGAAAGGCTCGCGAGTCTTCGGCTTTCGAGGATCAGAACTCAGCGACCCACCTGATACGCCACTCGGTGGGAAACAACGAATTCGGCACGGTTGACCACGAGAGACTGTCGAAAATGCTGTCGCTGCCCGAGGAGCTGGCTCGCATGTACCGCGATGACATCACCATTATCATCTCTCAGTTCAACCCTCATGTGATCGGAGCCCAGAGACAAGACGGGCAGTCCTGAGCTGTACCTCCACCGGTGTTTCACTGCAGATAACGCACATTTGTGTAACTGTGTACTTGTACACATAAGCCCACTGTGGACAAACAGGGCATAATGAGAAAATATCTGTCCAGCTGAATTGTTTTAACTCTATTTAAGTAAATACCTTGTATATTTGTATGCAGTACTACAGAAGATCCAGTTCCTCGTGAAGATCTTTGTTGGATGGAAGTCAATTATATGACGCTATTTATGCTCCCAACATCCTCTGGCAACCCTTGCATACACACCTCTCTGCGTGGCTGATAAGACGCTGTTACAAACTGACTTTTGTGCCAAAAGACTCGACCTCCTCGTTCGCTGAAAGACTCGGGTTGAAATTGTAGATCTTCCAAAGAGCATAAGGGTTGGGACTCGATGCAGCACTGACTCAACCTGATTCTCTGATATGGACTCAAACTGGGCTGTGCCATTGTAACACCAACACTCTTTCTCAGGTGTTATTTCCAACTCACTCACAATATTTCTCTGCCCCTGTATCTGCTTAACATGCACGTGTTCTGCATTTACACTTAAGTATTTGAAAGATTGACTCCAAAAAATGTTATTGATATTTGATCTCCTCACCCAAACAAATGCACCCCCCTCAGTGCTGTTGGCATGTGCCAGATTTACATCCTTGACCTTTTCACGCCCCCTGTTGCTGATTGGCTGGATTAGTGTTGTTGTTGCTCTGAGCTACATTGTTTGTTTCCCATTTACAGACCTGTGTATGAACCACAGATTCATTTTTCAGTGCGTAAACAGAACTGAAAGCTAGCAGATCGTAACAAGATATCGACTGAATTTGAGAAAAAGTGTCACTGACTCCAACTTTAAATTGCTGACGTTAAGCTTTAAAGTGCTTTCTTCCATATTGGCACTCTAGTGAACATCTTGTGGGGAAAAGATGGTTATCGGGAAGAGAAACAATGATTCAGTTACACACAATGTTATCAATTTAAATAGATACTGGATACCTCCTTTTAATCTCTTCAAATGAAAAGCAAAGAATAATCAAACAGACTTTATTTCAAAGTGTCACGAGCCAAAAAGGTTGGGAAACACTGAGCTATGTTTTCAATATGCTAAAACACAGAGTAATAAAATAGTCCTACAAATATTGACCGACTACACACTTATGTACTGAAAGGAGGACATGCATGTGCACTACAGGTGTATTGTCTTGATGGTAATTAGGTGAATTACGGTTCATATATATACATATATAATACAACCCTAAGTTAAATGAGAGTTTTGTAGCTTTTTTTCCAAGCTTTATGGGTTAAAGGGATGCTTGTTTAGGGTTCATCTTGCATTATATCATTTATTAAGAATTTTCAGTTTGGGTGACGGTTTGATTTATATATGACAGCTTTGTTGAAAGCAGAAACACTCTCCTGATACTCTCCAGTTAAACACTAAGGACAAGGTCGAAGTGTTGTGTTTGAGCCCACAGGAAAGAGCAGAATGTACATTTGAAAGCAGTTGTTTGAATATCAGATTATTTAAAAAGATTTTACAGTACATGTATGTTACACATCTTTATTTACAGTTGTATGTATGAAATGTAATTTATGTGGATTATGTTTTGTATATGGAAATGCTTTAATAAAACATAATACACACCACTGGGTACAGCTGTTTTGTGTTTTGGTTGACACAGGCTGGCTTGGTGGTGAACACACTGCCGCGCCCCTGAATGCAGCGCGACGTCCCGCTAAGCGACAGCCACCTGAGGTCAGTGTGTGTCAGGCAGGCAGGTCTCAGGTTGCAAGTGTGCCGCTCTCTGCTCAGTTTACATCAGTGCATCTTATTATACTTTATTATAGGGCTTAGTCGAATACTCGATTCCGATTGGTCAATTTACATTTCGGAGATTGTGAATACTCTCTAACTCAATAACATGACCGTTGCTAAGGAGGATCAAGGGAGTATGTGCAGTCATATCAATCGTCGGCTGTGAATGCTTCTTTCACAACATAATCTTGTATTTTCTAATGTGAAGTATTTTCTAATCCTAAAAAAATTGATATTTGTCATGGCATAGGCTACTATACTAGGACTCTTTTGTGATTATTTGTTTTACATACTTGACTAGTATAAATGTTCCTCCTAATGATATATAAACATGAATACACAGAGTGCAACTTCCTTTTTAGAATAATGTACATAAATTCACATTTGCCATTGCAGCTCTCCTACCTCAAAGGCTGAGAGATACTAAATGAAGTACAGATAAAGGTTGTTCTTCATACTGAATTGCTACCCGTGTATGGTGTCCTTCAACACACTGTGTTTTGTCTGTGGATAAAATACCTCATGTTCAGATTGTATTCTTCTGCCTCTGTCTGCTGGGAATTTAAAGTTGAAGGTTAGCTTCACTCTGCTTGTGACAACATTGTCTGGGAAGCAAAAGACTGTATTCCAAAAGAGTCCGAATTTTCTTTCTGGTAATACTTATATATACATATTTTATTTTGACCCCGTTCTCAATGCAGGATATTTAACTGTAATGAGGGTACATTTACCATTGTATTCCCTCCACCACTGACAGTCACAGCACCACGAACACAGTGGTTTGAGTTATTATTGTCAGGAGACAGTCAGTGAACCACCACTAGATGCTGCTGCAGTATCAGACATGACAAAGTGTCGAATAAGAGACAAGGTCATGGATTTATTTGAATATTTACATTATTATGCATCAATTTATAATGTTAGTTTGACAAATACTTGTTTACAGCAAAATATCTTTATCACTAATATAACAACCCAAAGGACTCTCAAGGTTTTTTGAAAACATAAAATCACTTTTTTTTAAAGAACATTGATAACCTGTTATGAAAAAGTATACATGAAACTGCAAACTGGCTGATTTTATTGCATCTGTGTTACTGTGACAAAGAATCTCTTATATGATTCCTGATAGCGACACATTGTATGAAACATATTGTAGGACATTGCAGACTTTAAATAGTTTTGAAGTGGGATTGAGTCACAATAGTCCCTGAGAAAAGAAACGTGGGTTTGATCATCATCACGTCGTCAGAGTGTTTGATTTATAAGGGCCATGCGCTCAGTTTCTCAGAAATAAACATAATGTTTGATCAGATGTTATGCCTCATCCCCGGATGTTTTTCCAGGACTAGGTTACAAAAGCAGAATGAGTGACTTAACTTTAAGGAATGTGTTTATGTGCTGCCTTCTTTTCCGTTGGATTAAGGTGCACAACGTGTAATACAAATCCTCCCACACAGCTGTCTCTCTTATTTACAATAATATAACAGAACTAATCACCCAATTCAGTTAAAGTAATCCACCACAAGGGGCAGCCAAAGTGTGTCAGGCCTCCAATGTGAAAATGAAAACTCACTGTTTAAAATGACGCATTCGTTTTTATACAGACAGAACTAGATAGAGTTTATTTAAAAAGTCACACAAGTACGTAAATTACAGATATGTTTATTTGTATGGGAATAAAAAGTACACATAGGCTTTCAATATGTTGCGAGTTCTTCTGCAACATTTCAGTTTGGTGATCTACCTTATAGTTTACTGCAATGTCAACGGAAAGGGGGGTTTAACTAATAAGTAATATCCCACATGTAAAAAATGATTTTTGAAGAAGAATAAAGTGGTGGAACACTTCTAAATATTGGAATAAACTAAATATTCTGAACTGCAATAATGAAAGATGGAAAGCTAACATTTTTTGATTATAAAATTAGATAATATTGTATTTACTCCAAATATTTACATTTATTTTCACTTCTCTCCCTGTAGACATTTATTTGTAACTTCAGTGTCAACTGTAACGTGACTAAGGATTTCCTCATGGACTTTGTGATACTTGTATATGTATACTTCTGTAGCATATTTATGTAAAAACAAGGCCCGGCCCCCCCACTGACACTTTACCTCTGCCACATCATCATAGACTATATGCATTACATTAATGTTCATACTCCTAGATGCACATATTCTTATTTCACATTAATAGTTTATATTCTAAAATTCATTCATATCACTCTATTTCCATGTAAATTACTGCTTTATTTAATTTGTATTGCTATTTAACTGTATTTTATTTTATTACGGTGTAAAATAATTTGCGTTTTATATTAGATTTCTTGTTTTTTATATTTTATGTATGCACCATGACATCAAGTCAAATTCCTAGTATGTGCGAACCTACCTGGCAATAAACCTGTTTCTGGCATTTCTGATTGCTGAATTCTGATGTAACTGCTTGAAAATAATCTCTGAGTTGTGTTCTCACATGCTGCGTACAGTCTTTGAATTTACGCCATATGTTTAGTTCTTGTGAACATTGTGTTTTGTTTGCGTTAATGCCGCTTGTCCTTAGATTATTATAAAGCATGATAAAAAATACTTTTCAAATGGACACAAACGAAATAGATTTAACTGACTAGACTTTTGTACTAGTAACTTAGTAAATAATAACATTAAAAGAATAGGTAGTCAAATAAACAAAAGCACTGCTGATTGTGATGGTGAAAGAATAACATAGTATTTCTTTATTTAGATAAAAGGGTTCGCAGCACATTGGGGGGAAACATGTTCGGCAAAAACAATTGTGTGTGACTGTGTGGTGATGGTGTGTGTGTGTGTGTGTGTGTGTGTGTGTGTGTGTGTGTGTGTGTGTGTGTGTGTGTGTGTGTGTGTGTGTGTGTGTGTGTGTGTTGTGGAAAGTGTTGCCGGGATACAGGCAAGGAGAGAGTGCAGACATAAACATTGGAGAGGCTACATGTTGACTTTTTGGTGATGTGGTTCACCCACTGTTCTNTAATTTTCTGAGACAGTCCTGTAGTTCTGAAATGTCGCGTTTACACCAAAAAGAGCCGGAACTAAAATTACTTAATCAGAACCTTTTTTACCCCCTTTTCCGTCCCTGCTAGAGAGCAGGGACTTTCGTGGGAGAAAAAGGTTCCTATGTCTGATTGGCTGGGCGGAATGCAAACCACGCCCCGTAAAACTCCCAAAAGGTTTTGTGAAGCCGCCATTTTATTATCCTCGCATTAGCATTATTAGCATTAGCCCAGCGCACAAACGCAGAGAGACTAACTTATGGCAACACAAAAGAAAACATGGGAGCGGTGGAGATGAGGAGGTGTCGGCGTTCTGGCGATTTACTCGGAAGGCTTCAGTAGCCAGTCCCCAACTCCGGGGACTTCCGGCCGGGGACTTCGGGTGGCAGTATACGCGTGAAGTTGTTTGCGGCCTGCCAGTAAACCCAAAGCAGAAGAAGAAGAAGTGACGTCAGCGGCTTCATTTGCCTAATCCTCCCTCAGGGACTTATTCCGGTGTGAACGCGGTCGGCTCTTTAGTTCCATTGGGGTACTAAGTGCTGGGAGCTAAGTACGGCAAAGTACTTGGTGTGAAAGCGGCTCTTGACTTTTCAGATGCAGAGACAACGCTTGGTTAAACAATTCACCAGGACACTAATGGCAGGGAGTTACCATTCAATTTCTAGTATGACTACAGGCATCAATTTTGAATCAAGTCTCAATAAAAAAGTTTTAAGTTATTGTATGGAATTTTCTAACATTGATATGATAGGTTCAATAACAAACTCCTGAAGTAACTAATGATATGTTTTAGTATTCTAAAACATTAAGGCCTACATTATAGCCCAGGGTGTTTCAATATGTTTTTCTAATATGACTTTAGTATTATATTATAAGGCTGTTAAGGGCCCTTAGAGGTGCTATTAATAAGTAATCCCACATGAACAGTGGAAGCAGAATATTCATTATAAGCTTCTGGCGTTGTGAAACTATTGCCTAATATGTTCCTTTTACAGAACATTTGATTATGTTTTGTTTTAATGCAAAGCTTGAACACAGAACGCATTTCCCTTGTGTTTTTAAGTTATAAAGGAAAGTCTTTTTCTCCCTGCTTCCTCATTAATATCCGTGCTGGAAATTGAAATTATATTTAACCCCTGGTGTAAGATTCATACAGAATTAGTGGCCATATAGGGAACATAAATTACTTTTAATTTGGCTTTTACATTCAACCTCCACACATGCAAAACAAATGCTTATTTGCCATCCAAGCACCTCTTTTCACCCTCTGTCTGAAACCAGAGCCCAGTCTGCTCTGATTGGTTAGCTTGCCGACTTGTTTGTGATTGGTCAACCACTTGTCCCGCCCCTTAGCCTATCACATACAATGTGTTGGAGCGATAGCCAATAGAAGTACGAGTGCAAATTATATTGGAACATCAGAAAGGATGTATCTTTCTGTAAACTTATATAACAATATGAGTGTGTGAAGTGAATTGCTGCTTTAACGTCATTCCCAATAGAGGAAAAGCATAAAAACAACAACAACAAAAGACAGAAAGCCGACAACAAAGGCTGATACTTTTAAAAGAACAATCTAAAGGAAATAAAACAACAAAGCGGGGCCTGATTGCTCCGCAGGGCGTTGTTATAACTGCAACATTGGCAGTATCCAGATGAAACATTACAAAATGAAATAGCGTGATAAAAATAAAGCTGAAGATATGTGGATTAAAATCAATACATGGCCTGTGGGCTCCAAGTATCCGTCCATTATCAAATTAATAACATGTTGTACTTCAGTGCGTCATGTCTGCGAGGATCCTTTCTCTCTGGCAGTAAGTGCTGAGGAGATTGTAAAATCAATGCAGCGCTGTCTGCGTACCTCTCTTTCTTCAGCAGCTCCTGGCTGATATTGACCAGCTGGCCAGATGCATCATGGGACTTCTTGGTCATGGACTCCAGCTCCGACTCCACGCGCACATTCTCCCTCGCCAGAGCCTCAGCTTTCTTCTCTCCGGAGCGCACCTTCCCCTCCAGAGCTAAAGGAAGGGAAATAAGAAGGAGGAGAACATTTGAATTTAAAGGTCTCCTATCATGCTATTTTTAGGCATATATTTTGGCTCTCAGATACAAATATATCAAAATATGTCTGATGTGTTTTGCTCAAAATACCAAACGGATCATGCATTTTAGACGGAGCTGATCCAGATTTGCATCCAATATTACGTCATATCGGACGCAAATCTGGATCAGCTCCGTTTCCCCCCCGTTTTTAGAGATGTGGGCACGGAGGAAAAGAGAGAGGGTTTTATTTGCTGACGCTGCGTGAGTTCCCTGACACACCGGGGACACATCTTTATGTATAAAAGACATCAACAAGTGCATTTTGCATGATAGGTCCCCTTTAAGATGAGTTGTCAGCTTCCGTATATTCCAGCAATATGTTATGATAATGCCGTTATTAGAATTCATTTAAAACACCTTTATAAATTGTTAAAACAACTATTGTAGTCATAGACATAATGTATATATTACATAATACCTCAGATTAGAGAATAGGATTGACTTTATTAAAAGCCGAAATTAGGAACAAAATGTTAACAGCAACAATGCATAGTGAAGCATCTTTCTGTGCAAAAATATATGTTACCCTGAAGTAATAAGGCTTCAGGTAATAGTATCGGGTCTCCGCACTTTAGGCGCGTCTCACAGTACTTTTCCCACTTTAGTTCCGGAATGTCGCGTTCCACCTAAAGCAACCCGGAACTGAATGAGTTGCATCAAACCTTTTCACCCCATTTTCCGTCCCCGCTAGAGAGCAGCGGACTTCATGGGAAGAAAAGGTTCCTAAGTCTGATAATACACATGAGAGCAAAAATTGCAAACCACAGGACCGTAACTCCCAAAAACGATATTTGACACAAAGCAAATATAATATACATGACATTAGCATATTAGAAATAGCACAAAAGCGCACAAACAAGAGACTAAAACTTATGGCAACACAAAACAAAACATGGGAGCGGTGGAGGATGAGGAGTGCTGTCGCGTTCCGGGAGATTTTAACTCGGAAGCTTCAAGTAGTTGGAGGACTGGGCTTCGTAGAACGCTGCTGGGAGTCCCCAGCAGCTTCTACGGAAGGCAGTCCCCAAACTCCGGGGACTTCGGGTGTGCAGTATAGCCGGATGTTGTTTACGACCTGCCAGTAAACCCAAAGCAGAAGAAAAAGAAGTGCCGTCAGTGCTACATTGCCAATCCACCCCCCAGGAACTTATTCCGGTAGAAACGCGATCTGTACTTAGTTCATGAGAACTAAAGAAGTTTCCTCATGAACTAAGTTCTGATCCGAACCTTTGGTGGGAAAAGTACTGGGTGGTGAAAGCGCCTAAAATTAGCGACTGTCATTTGTGTTGATTTCTCTTTTTTAATATTGTCTGGTATCCCCTTCTATTCCTTCAACACAAGATAAAAAAGACCGCGACGTCACTGTACCGTTGTGGCCCATAACTGAATAATCCTCCGCTCCGCTTTGTGTCCTTCCTTCTTGCTGTTAAAAATTCCAGTCTGTTCTTCAAGTGGTGTCATGTGATTATCACGGCACACGAAGAGTGTTTTGGGTTCCTTTGCAAGTGATGGGAGTTTTCAAAGACCAGCCTTTTGACGATTTCTCAGCGCTGATCAAAGAATGAAGCGAACTGACATCAATAAACACAGGGCACTGCACCTGAGAACTACAAGGATGTGACACCCTAAAATGCCTCTTTAATCTAAATATACATCAGTAACGAAATAAAAGACATCCTCCAATAAAAGACAAGCCAGGAATGGTTCAACCAATAGCGTCATTTAATGGAAAAACACTACAATTCCCCCTGCAGCCATTGAAAGATTACTGAACGGAAAACAAAAAGACATGTACCAACCATGAGAGTGCTAATGGACACAAAAGAAACATCAAAACGCTACAACAAACAAGCTGAGAAAAGACATACACAAGAAACAAAAACAACTTCAAAAGAACCAAAAGACGAACAGAGCGAAACAAGCACACAACAAAAGGAACAAACACTCTAAACGAACACAGACATCACAACCAACCACAGAGATAGAAATATAATGGCGAAGGGATGAAACCCTACAATTTAATGGTCTTCACATGCAGAGCATCAACAGTGCATGTGTTCTCTGCTGTTAACACATCTAGCACACAGGGTCTACCCAGGAGTCTAGACACCAGAGCGTCACACACAGGAGTCTAGAAACACAGGAGCCTAGTACCAGGAGAACATAGCACACAAAAGGAAGATACTAGTACCTTAGAGTCATAAGAACAGGAAATCAAATAGACACCAGGGAAGTCTAGAACCAGGACTCGCGCTCAGACACAGGAGTAAACACCCCCCAGGAGTCTAAGTACCAGGAGTCTAGCCAGCAGGAGTCTAGTACCAGGGAAACAACAACAAAGAAATTCCTAGTAGCCACCTACAAACAACAGAGAGTCCTAAGCACCAGGAGTACTATATACAGAGAGTCTAGCAACCCAGGGGTCTATACAGGAGTCAGACCCAGGAGTCGAGTATCAGGAAGTCTAGCAACCAGGATCTAGAACCAGGAGTCTAAACCACGAGTCAGTACCAGGAGGTCCAACCACCAGGAGTCGTAGATACCAGGAGTCAAAGCAGACAGGAGTCTAGATACAAGTGAAACACCAGGATTCTAGTATCAGGAGTGCTAGTACCAGGTCCTAGTACTCAGGAGTCCACAACACACAAGAGTCAACAACCAAGAGTCTAAAACACCAAAGAGTCTAGTAACAGGGGTCTGGTACCAGACCCTGAGTCAGACCAGGAGTCCTACTAGGACAGGTGGGCAGCACTAATAACAAGCACCGGGGAGCATGAGTGGGGGGGAAAAGAGGAGAGGGTCACAGCCAAGCCCCTACTCGACTGACCACTGCCGACCAACGAGTTATAAAGACTATCATAATAAAAAAGAGACTGAAACAATTCCAAGATCAGTTTCCTCCCTATGTAGAGAACATGGTGGGGAACATCCTACACGCAACACCAAAACTATCTTGCTCCTGTGTAAAATCAAATGCTATGTGTGTGTGAACATAAAGAAGCTCTCTATAAGAGATTACAGATTGCATGATTTCTTTCTTCTCTTTGGAAAATGAAACAATCTAATACTCCGAAACTAGGAGATTAATGAAAGCAATCCACCTGGGAAGTGAGGGTCGTCACCATCTTTCTCACACAGATTTTACCATCAAGCCTTCTCCTCGTTTCTGAGTAAGACAAAACAACAGTCAGTGTGTTTTGAGGATACATGTTCAAAGAAACCACAAATTAGATGACTGACACAGCTCTAAGGCAAATCAACGCCGCCATAAGGCTTTCAGTTTCTATATTTAGCCGTTTCACACCAAGTACTTTGCCGTACTAGTTCCCAGTACTTAGTTCATGCAGAACTCTTTAGTTCTCATTAACTAAGAGACAGATCGCGTTACACACCGATAAGTTCCTGGGGTGGATTAGGCAAATGAGCCGCTGACGTCCTCTTCTTCTTCTGCTGGGCTCCGCAGGCCGCAACAACTTCACGGCGTATACTGCAGTGGCGAGCCGTGACTTTTATACCTAGGAACCAACTCTGAGCCACCTCTTCCTCGAGTTATGTAAGACAAAAGAACGAACAAACAGCGTAAGATCAAACAACGGCCCGGGGTGCAAAACGCATCAATGAAAGTCGACCTCTACCACACAAAACAACACACCTGTAAATACACTATTTGTGTTCTTTTGAAATTGAAAAGATACTGACATTGTGTTTGTATACTTCGGTCAGTATTGTCTTAAGGTTCATTTGGCATAAGCTTTATTTTGAAGGCGAGTTTACGCTGAATTAAGACAGAAGAAATGGATAGTTGCTATGGAACAAGAAAGTTTCACGCGGGGGAACTTTTCCATAATTCCGCGAATAATAAAACACCCTCCCATTATAGAGGGAAGATATGATGGTCAAATATAGTACTGTCCATTTCACCATTAACTCTCGTTCATACATATAGCATGGCCCTCTGTGAATTCATAGCTGGAACGCGCTGGACGTCCAACAGCTCCTCTCTCATCGAGATGAGCCTTCTTTAATTAAAACCCTTCACATTCCAAACAGAAAACTGAAAGCAAGATTCGAAGGATTTTTTATTTGGAAAGTTTATTTTAAATACAATTTAAATCAAGGTATTTTGTAAAACATGAAAATATAACTAAAAATTTATTAAAAATATTTAAAGAAAAAGAAAAAAGAAAGATATTATATTTTTGTATGTTTTTAAATATTATTTTGAGAATATCTTAGGGCCCCTCACAGAGGGCCTAAGGGACCCTGACAGCTCGCTCACTGGTATACTGGCACAAAGCCCGAAGTCCCGGCCGAAAGTCCCGGAAGTTGGGGACTGCTTCAGTAGAAGCTGCTGGGACTCCCAGCAGCTCTACTGAAGCCTTCCGAGTAACATCTCCGAAGCCGACACGTTCCTCCAATACATACAGACAACAACATAGATATAATAAAATATATAGAAGAATATAAGAATAAGTGAGGGTACTCCTCTCACGTTGGTAGCAATAGAAGCTATGCTAATAAATAGCTAATGCCAGCAAATACAATGGCGGGCTTCAAAAACATATACACGAGTTTTACGGGGCGTGGTTGTAATTACCGCCGCCAGCAAATCGAAATAGGACCTTTTTCTCCCATGAAAGTAACTGCTCTCAGGGTGTAACGACCCTGGGCGTAAAGGTCATTTGTGGTGTGCATTTGCCCTCCTCCTATAATGTACAATGAAAGAGTGATCAGATGTGTGTGTGATAAGCGAATGAGTGCACCAAGTTAGACATGAATTAGCATACTTACAACCATGCTGAATTGAGTCCACAACTGAGAAGAAGAGAAGGAGCATTTAAGATGCAGCCATGCAGAATATCCTCGGAAAAATCAGCAAATCTCTAACAGACATTTCAATCCATCTCACCACACAACATTAGCTTGCATGAGTCCGATATAATATAGCTAAAAAGGTGCTTAGTTAACTGTTGCCCTCGGATCATCCTTTTTGCCTGCTGACTGTGTTAGAAAGCGACTTAAACCTGTCTGTGCGCCTTCTTTTTTCAGGAGTCACTCTTTTCTTTTGGATAACGTTTTCTCCCGTTATTAGACATATGAAGTAAAGGTAAGATTTTTCGTAATTCAAATTTCTCATTTGTTAGGTAAGATTTTTGTGGTAAAAGGTTTATCTTTGGTTTTGAAGAATTATATAGCAAAAACATAACCTCAATAAACCTCTAATTTTCGGTAATTCATTATACCAACGACTTTTATCTGTAACTAATGGACAACCAGTTCTTGGGAGCTGGAAAATGGGCGCGAGTGCCATTTTATACTGCGCCTGGTTCCCACGGTCCTGGGCCGTAACACTACGTAGGGACCAAAAAAGGGGCAGAAAAGGTTATGATGAACTAATCCACCGCTTCCCAGGATTCTTTTTGGTGATGAACGCAACATTTCAAGAATATTGGAACGTATACTGGGAACCCACTCACTCCGGTGTGAAAGGCCCAGTCACGCCAACAGTTAACATTAGTTCTGCTTTAACTGCTTGGTGGACTTCTTTCTGCGGGCGCCATTTTTCGCTTATCGAGCGATTTCAACCACAGATAGAACTCTTCTCCTTCTTTCCTGCTCGCAATCTGCCTGGTGAGAAAATAAGTAAGTGGCGAGAATAAGATTCTCCGCTTTTGTATCAACTAATAGAGCATGTATCCTACACACACCTGAAAGCAGTAATAGGGGTTCATATGACTCATAACTGGGTTTTAAATATTTGTTCTTTAACTCGAGACATTATTGGAATGGAGCAGAAGATAAAATTCATGTATTTGTAAAATTAAAAACTAAATTCTATCATGGTTTGTTTTTTTTGATGAAAATAAATGGACCGTTGATACCTTCGACTTCTGGTTTAGCTCATCTCTCTTCTGTAATGCGTTATCCTCTTCACCCGTGAAGAAGGATAAAGAAATTAAAGCTTAAAGCAAGCAAGTGACAGGCGTATCCGACACTTAGTTAATCAATCAAATCAATCAATCAATCAATCAAGCAGGTATTGGAATACAGCTTTGCAGTGATCACAAGTTTTAACATTATAGTCTCAGCTGGGCTTTACAGTTTAATACAGAATATGAAAAAAATAAAATGGGGGGGGGATTAGCAACGTCTGTCTTTAGTCTTCACAACAGACAAACTGCCAAAGAAACCCAAATTTCATGCGGGAAAAAACTAGAAGAAACCTCTGGGAGAGGATCTCTCTTCCAGTGACGGAACAGATGTAGAAAAATAAGACATTCACAAAAACAGATAGTCATGGGCTGCTCGATTATGGCAAAAATAATAATCTCGATTATTTGGGTCAATAATTGTAATTGCGATTATTAAATGCGATTATTCATTGACTTTAAAACATCCATTTATCTGAGAAAAAAAAGTGAACAGTTATCGTTTTTAACGGTGATGAACGCCTGAACTTTAAGTATAACTCAACTGGAAAAAAAAAAAATGTATTTAAAAAAAAAAAATAAGTTATAAAAATAAGAATCGTTTTATTTCGATTACCCGTTGTTTTCAGTAATCGTTGCAAGCCATAATCGTAATCGCGATAAATACGATTAATTGATCCAGCCCCTAACAGATAGTCAAAAGAAATCTCCTCTTATCTCCTGTGCTACTCACGTTAGCATCGTTGCGAGCGTGTAGCGGTCGTCCTGCGTTGCCTTGCGCTGATGGCCGTACCTCAGCTGCTCCCTCCAGCTTCTGGATGTCCTGCTGGCTCTCGGCTGGGCGCTTCTGCAGCGCCTGGTAGCCGCTCATGAACTTCTTCTTCCGACAGCTCCAGCCCTCTCTCTCAGCTCCTCTGAGTTCCTGTCCTTCTCCATGTGGATCTTCTCCCACCTCCGGCAGCCCGTCGCTTCCGCCTCTGCAGCTTCTCTCACACGGCCTCCTCCAGGGCCTTCCTGCCCCTTGGCCTCCCACCTCGCTCCTGACCAGCTCTGGCTCCCTGTGTCCAGCTGCTCTTTGGCCTCCGTCAGGCGGGTGCAGAAGTCTTCGTCGCTTCTTGTAACGGATGGCTGCTGTCGATCTTGTGTGTTGCCTGTCAGGTTATCCACCATCCAGCCTGGTGCTCCGCTCTTCAGGCTCTCCAGAGAGGCCTGCTCGGGCCTCCTGCGCGGGGTGATCCCGGACAGATGAGGCCTTCAGGTCCTCCAGGGAGCGCTGGTGATGGACCACCAAGAAGTCAAATTTGTCCTTAGAGGGAAGGAAGGGGATCATTAGATTAGGTCGTGCTCCTCAAGATACTCACAGAGCTGAATCAGATTCAGATGCTGCTGAAGGCTCTTTGAGCAGGTTTCTCTCAGTGTCGTGCCGTATGATTATAAAGTTTGTTGTTTGTGTCGTCATGTAATTTGTTGCTTGATATCGTGTCCATTGTGATGTTTACACAGGAGCTTCTGTTATGCAGTCCATTTTCAACTTGACCCATTAAAGTATTATCGTATCGTATCTTGGTGTTTAAATGATATTTTGGAGGCTTTTTTTTTGTTGTTCAAAAATGTTTTATTTGTTTTTTTGATTTCATATCAATTTAACAAATGGTGTTAGTTTCTCCCTCCTCGCCTGCTGCAACAACGTATGAGACTATACTTAGAGAGCATGGAAAGATCTCCAGCTTCTAGCTTTCCATCGTCAATTTGTTTTATTATTGTATTTAAACGCTGAAAACCCCATCTTGTCTATTGTGGTTTATTTGTTTTGGTAGTTATTGGTGCATTTAATCTTGTTTTTAAGTTATCGTTTAATAATTTAATTTATTAATTAATTGTTGATTGTTTTATTTAATTTGAATATTGTTTTAATTATTTTACTCCTATTTGTGTTATTCTATATTGTATTTGTCCCCGTACAGCACGTTGATCACGGGGTTGTTTAAAATGTGCCTATAATAAATGAAGATTTGAGATTGTCTTCAGGATGAAAATCCATTGTCCAACAGCTCTCTGATACTCTGTGCGTGACAGAAGTACCTTTCCAGGTGCTCCCAACGTATGAGACTGACGTCATAGAGCACGGTATGAAAGTCCTAGCCCTGATGCATTTTGCTGATCTTCAGTTTTCCCAGCTCTCTATTGCGTCTCATATTTTCCTTTAACTTTCCTTCCGGAACTATCCCTTGGTCCTTCTCCCGAATAAAGTCCTAATCCTGACTGACTGATTGATACCCACATGCTCTCTGATCCAGTGTGCGTTGGCAGATACGCTTCCAGGTGTCCTCATATCCACGTTCTCCTGTTGCGTCCTGGACCTTCGTTCACCTCGCATCAGCTCCCGGCCTCTTGTTCTCCACTCGGCCCCTCAAGCTCAGCGACCGTCGGCCGCCTCTCCTCTAGCTCCGCCTCGGCTTCTCCCTCAGCTCGCTGCTCTCACTGCTGTGCTCGCGGCCCGCAGAGGCCGCTGACTCCGCAGGACGAGGCTCGGGCATCGGACCCCGGGGCCTCGTCGCCGTCCTCCTGCTGGGAGCGGACTCGGAGCTTCACCTGCAGGTTCTCCATCCCGCCCTCCTGGAGGCTCAGCTCTCCTCCAGATGCACGATCCGACTCTGCTCCTCAACCGTGGTTTGCTGGAACGGATACAAAAAACACGTGGTCACTGTCGCTGAATCATCTGNTGTGTGTGTGTGTGTGTGTGTGTGTGTGTGTGTGTGTGTGCGTGTGTGTGTGCACGTGTGAGATGAGTAATTGAATGTGACCTGTTGCAGCTACCGAAAGCAAAACGGAGAACAGTGGGTGAACCACATCTTTCGGTAGCTGCAACAGGTCACATTCAATTACTCATCTCACACGTGCACACACACACGCACACACACACACACACACACACACACACACACACACACACACACACACACACACACACACAAACATGGCACAAGGTCAGGTAGGACAGTGATTCAAGACAATTTTATGTGCAGTGTTGGAAACTAGTTACCAGTACGGTACTTGAGTACAGTTTTAAGGTACTTTTATTCACTTGAGTATTTCAATGTTTGCCTTTGATTATACTCAAACACCACCACACTCTACTTTTTACTAATACATTTATCTGACCTCTTTAATTAATTGGGGATTCAGATATATCATTGAACATGAAATATAAATCAACTAATAAATGATGATGTATTACTATATTACGCTGCCCAAAAGTATATATATACATATAACACATTATTGTCTCAATAATAAAAATTCAATAGTGTCATTTATATTCTGAAATGGGACAGTCTGCATAATGAGTATATTTTGATGCAAATATTTTTGTGAGATTTATAATACAGAAGCTGTAACGGTGTATATCCACACTGTGGTCACGCTACTTTTACTTTGACCTCCCCCACTGCACATGTTGAACATTGAAACTCTCACATGTGGTTTTGAGAGGGATTTTTTTGTTGTGGCCTTTTTGTGCTGCATAAAAGCCCACAATCATTCAAATTAATCCTTTCAGCACTGTGGCCCGTCGCCCACTGTCACAAGAGATGACTCAGAGTCGCTCTGTGCAGCACCAAGGCCTCGATTGCCCAGTGACAGACTGGCATTGATGTGGGGGG